TGTTAAAATTAATATACATAACTTTATCGATATTTAGAAAATTCCTCCTTTGCACAAAATTTAAATTTTTAAATTGTTAAATATAAAAATAGAAGAAGAGAATGGTAAAGCAAAGTAATAAAATAAAGGTAAATACATTGGCACATGAACAGAATAAGGTTATTATATCATTTTGACATGTGTCCGTCCAGAAAATCCCGGCTTGTGCGCAGGTGAATGCTCTATTTACCATTAATAAAATAAGTCTTCGATGTTAAGTTTTTTGATATTAATTTGTTCGTATTTCATATATATATATATATATATATATATATATATATATATATATATATATATACATATATATATATATATTATATATATATATATATATATATATATATATATATACATATATATACATATATATATATATATATATATATATATATTAATATATATATATATATACATATATATATATATATATATATATATATATATATATACTTTATTGTATACCATAATAAATAATGTTTGGGATAATATTTATTTTCCACACATACCAACAAATATTGACTAAAAAAAAGTAACTCATTAAAAAACTATTTCACATGCCTGTGACATTGAGCACATATATATTTAATTTTTTGCAGTATGCGCATGTCACGGATTCATGACATGCTTAATTTAAACTATAAAGATATTTAATAAATCATTTGAAGCATAAAATAACGCATGGACACCTTATTACCAGTACATCTGAGGCGCAAGCACTGAACGACAATACAGTTGTCTTTTCTTATAATAAAATTTTATACTGTATACGTATTTAATTACGGTATATCAGATATTGTGTCGTTTGTCTTCATCTTCCAAAAGTCGTATCGTACAATGGGATCTAAGATTTGGTTTTAACTCATATTTAATTAATATACTAATTGTTGAGTGTTCTAACGATTTTTTAAATTATTTTACTAATACGTGTTGAACACAAACCCCTTAGTGTACACAAAATTCTATAGAAAACTTTTTGTGTTGCCCTGTGCTTAATACATTTTTGAAATCAAGGAAGTACGCATAAACATCATTACGCATAACAAAAACCCGTTATTATCAAATGTTCTATTACTTAAAACTTGTATACTGAATAATGCCTCTTTGGTAACCAAACCGATTTCAAACCAGAATTGATTGTAATTCAGTGATATCCCTATTACCATTATTAGTTTGAACAAATATTTGACATTTGTATGATCTTGATAGCTTTTATTTGAAGTTTAACATTTTCTTTATACAGGGTGAGTCATGAGGAACTTTACATACTTCTACCATATGTAGAGTCCCTCAGGGAGCATATCATGTGACCACTAAAAAATGTCAACTCATCTTCTTTATTAATTAACAAGGTGATTTGTGTAATTGACCATTTATTTCATTTTACTGTAGTGTTTATACGGCTCATTTGATTTTTTCAAATTTTGCATGATACAGTACACTACTATCAAGCATTCGACTGGTATTAGCTAAACTAAAAAATTCCAGGACTGGCTATGGAAAAATTAATTTAGGGATTCGTATTAAATGTTGCACCCTGTATATATTTTTTTTAGATGCAAAAAGTGATTTTCAAACTACATAAACAGCCAATGAAACCGAAATATGCGACAATGTTGTCGCACTTTTATTAAATTTTTAGTGAACGATCAAATCTTACCAAAAATAGAACAACCATAATGAAGTATCAAATTATAAGGTATTAATTTAAACAAATGTTATAAATTTCAAACATTTTAATTAAAATGAGTTCCTACAACATAATCTAATACGTAGAAAATTAACATCTTTACTGTCACTTTGTATTATCTCTACGATAGAATCAATTGTTTTTCAATTTTAAATTTTTACTCATAGATCGTATTGGGGCATTATTTTTGATAAATAATAAATTAAATTGATTAAAAAGTCAAACATCTTGTATGTGTTAGTTTTTGTTGATTGTAAAATGATTAAAATTTGATGTCAAATAATAATACATTGCATCAACTGTACTAAATAAAAAGAAATCTAAAAAAGTTTACAATGAAGGTTGGCGTTGACCGTTTGACGTTTCTTGATATTTTATACCCATTGTCATTATTTTCATTATCAATTGTCATTTATGTGTACAAGAATACATATTTCTTCTGTCATATCTACTTTAAGTACATTGTGTTAGTTTTGGTAGAGCTTTTGTTACTTTTGTTCAAAATGCCACATCAGTTTTCGACCACAGAATATGCAGACATAAGATTTGTTTGTGGATTCTGTAATGGGAATGGTAGGGCTGCTAGTAGAAAATATCGCAGGAGATTTCCTAATCGTCGAACTCCCAGTCATCCAACATTTGGGTCAGTTTTTAATTATTTGCGAGAAAATGGCACTTTTCCTAGTGGAACAACAGAGCGACATGTAGATGAAGAGAAGGAAGATGACATTATGGACGCCGTTACTATGAACCCTACAATAATCACTAGACAAGTAAGTCGAGAACTCAATGTTACTCAATCAAAAGTAAGTAGAGTCTTACAAAAAAATAATCTACAACCATACCACATTCAAATGGTTCAGCGACTACATGCTGGAGATGAGATCGATAGGTTGGAATTTTGTAGATGAATTAACAATAATCGACCAACGCTATACAGGACACTATTTACAGATGAAGCCCAATTTACCAGAGACCGGATAAATAATTCACGAAATTCACATGTGTGGGCAGAAGAAAATCCCCATGCTATTCGAGAACGTCGTTCGCAGTTAAGGTTTTCGGTTAACGTGTGGATTGGTGTCATAAATAACCAATTAGTAGGTTCTCACTTTTTGGATGGTCCTTTAACAGGGCAGGTCTATTTTGAACATTCTACAAAATATTTTGCTGAATTTGCTTGCCAACGCGAACGTTGCTATCCGAGGGATGTATTTTCAGCATGATGGGGCACCCCCACACTTTTTACTGGCAGTGAGACAACATCTCAATAATGTTTATGGCAACAGGTGGATAGGACGTGCAGGTCCTATTTCGTGGCCTTCAAGATCCCCTCATTTCCATCCCGTTGATTACCATATTTGGGGGGCGATTGAAGCAACTACTTTACGCAGTGAATATTAATAACCGACAACAATTAATTGGTAGAATTATACATTGTTGTAATACTACTAGAAACGATCCCCAGAGTATCCGTAATTCAATAGGACAATTAACAATTCGGCAACAAAAATGTGTACAGGCTGCAGGGTTCCATTTCGAAAATTTATTTTGAATTATTTTTATTTTGTTACCATTATTGTATCTTTTCCAGTTATGGGTTTATCATAAGTATGTATATATTTTTATTTTTTTTTTAATTGTTCTTCATTATTGTTAGTAGTTACTGTTTTTTGTTGTACAGTGACTCACTTTATCATTTCAATTAAAATGTTTGAAATTTATAACATTTGTTTAAATTAATTACCTCATAATTTGATACTTCATTATGGTTGTTCTATTTTTGGTAAGATTTGATCGTTCACTAAAAATTTAATAAAAGTGAGACAGATTGTCGCATATGTCGTTTTCATTGGCTATTTATGTAGTTTGAAAATTACTTATTATATTTTAAAAAATATATATACAGGGTGTAATATTTAATACGAATCCCTAAATTAATTTTTCCAAAGCCAGTCCTGGAATTTTTTAGTTTAGCTAATACCAGTCGAATGCTTGATAGTAGAGTACTGTATCATGCAAAAATTAAAAAAATCAAATGAGCCGTATAAACACTACAGTAAAATGAAATAAATGGTCAATTACACAAATCACCCTGTTAATTAATAAAGAAAAGGAGTTGACATTTTTAGTGGCCACATGATCTGCTACCTGAGGGGCTCTATATATGGTAGAAGTATGTAAAGTTCCTCATGACTCACCCTGTATAAACGGGAATTAAACATTATTTAAACAATTGCATAAACCCAAATTTGTAAAACAAAGTACTGGGTTTGTAATTATTGTGCAATTTATGTACTTTATATATCTATTTATTAATGCATTTGCTTTTTTCAAGATATGCAAACAAATAGGATCGTAAGTACCTATTTTGTGTAGGCTTGCATAGTTATGGTACGAGATCATTATGTTATTTAAATATTTTAATAAAAGAATTTTATTAAATTGTTAATGTTATAGTGAGCAAAAACAAAAACTAGTCAAGCCTGTTATTTTCTTTGCACAAATTGTATCATAAAATACTAACAAATACTAATAACTCATTGAAACCAATATTTATAAAACATTCATTGTGCACACGCCTCCTGCTATTTCAGTCGCAGTTAAGGGTATGAAGTTGATAAGATCTAATTTTAACATGATACATAATTTTGTTATTAAAACTAATCAATATGTTGATATAAGGTTGAATGCTCGAATAAATGAACTTAGATAAAATGAAAGACAGATATCAAGCACTGTTTTATTAATTAAATCTTGCCCAAGTACTTTCGCTTCCTAGAGAATTTTCAGGAGCATCTAAAATAAGCCAAAAAACGTTTTTTTTTTTTAAATGAAGAAAATGATAAACTTCGATGAAAAATCGAAGTTAACGGATGATAAAAAATTTTTTGTGAATAATGTTTTAGACTTACTTCGTCAAATTTGGGCTATCCAACAATTTCAGAATGTCATAGAATTAATGTGGTGTTATGTTTAATCGTATGTTTAATTTTAAGTCTATCACATTCTGCAATTGTTGGATAGCCCTAAATTTGACAAAGTAGGTCTAAAGCGTTAATCACAAAAAACTTTTATCATCCATTAACTTTCAGTTTTTATCAAAGGTAATCATTTTATTCATATAAAAAAATTCTTGGCTTATTTAAGATGCCCCTGAAGATACTTTAGGAAGCGAAAGTACTTGGGCAAGATTTAAGTAATAAAATAGTGCTCGATATCTGCCTTTCATTTTATCAAAGTTTAATTAATATGTGTTTGTAGTAAGACCTACTTGTTTATCTCGAAGGCATTCGGTCCTATCATACCACCATTTGTTCTTGAGTTTGGTAAGTTCGCCATCTTCTTTCAATGATAGTACTGCAAGATTAACTGCATCTCTGTAAAATAATTATGCTTTAAAATATAATGTTAAGATAAAATCGTACAAAAATATTAATTTTTTAACATATTAGGGTGTGAAGGTAGTTTGCGTCCTTAGTAAAAATACTATACGTGCAACATGGCTAATGCTAATGAACCAACACATACTTTCAGTCAGGTAAGCCTTAGAATCTTCTGACCAAACAACACTTCCTTTGCTGTATGACACACAAAATAAACGGTCAATATAAGGACCTTACATCCAGACCAATCGAACCTACAGTTCGAATCTATCACATAAACCTAAAAGGCAAAAGCTATGCTAATTACCCACTGAGACCCACTGCGAAACAGAGGATCATGAACTATTGTGCGCCACTTACCACCGATCATACGGCTGCACAGCTACATTTATGTTAGACAAGATTTTATTGTAAATGTTTCGCTAATCTTTACTTCGATTATTAACTGTGTTTATAATGTAAAAAATCAGTAATGTTAATTTCTCATATAATTTCAAATCGCCTGCCACATCTTGGCCAGACCAATAAATTCAAGCACTACCCCACCCTACTGCATATGTTGGCAATTATAATAGCGTCAAAGAGCAGTAGAAATATAAAAATAGTAAAACAAAGTTAAGAAACTGTTAATATTGCCTGGTAATAATACAAATAGGGACGCAAATCTCCTTAATCAGTTTCCACGTCTAAGATGGAATTTTAAAATGGCCAACTAGAATGGTTTTATACCGCCCTAGATAAATGCTTGGGTGGATAATACCTATTAACAAGATCTACAAAATATTTTACTGGTGCTGTGTACTGGTAACTTCTTCTTCTTTGGGTGCCGTCTTCAATGAAGGTTGGCGATAACCTCAGCAAAATCATTTCTGTCCCTGGCTTTTCTTATTAAATATTGAGAATCCAAACCAGTCCACTCACGAATGTTCTTCAACCAGGACGCCTGCCGTCTACCAGGACCACGTTTCCCTTCTACCTTCCCCTCTATAAGAAGCTGCAGTAGCTGGTATTTCTCATTTCTGTATATGTGTCCCAAATATGAGGTTTTCCGTGTTTTCATTATTTTTAAGAGTTCTCTGTCTGTACCCATCTTGTATAGGACCTGCTCGTTGCTCATATGCGCTGTCCAGGGGACTTTCAGCATCCTTCGAAATAACCACATTTCAAAACTTTCCAAACGCCTGAGTAAGTTGATTTTGAAGGTCCAGGCCTCCATTCCATATAGTAAGGTGCTGTACACGTAACATTTCAGCATTCGGTATCGGCTTTTGAGATTGAGTGTTTGGGACGTAAACATTTGTTTCATTTTTAAAAAGACATTTCTTGCTTGTTCAATTCGCGATTTTATTTATATGTCTGGATCTATATATTTCGTTATCTAGCACCCTAGATATCGAAATTTCTCGACATTTTCGATAATGTTACCAATCACGTTTAAAGCCATGGGTGGATCGATGGATGTTTTGGAGACAATCAATGTTTTTGTTTTCTTGACGTTAATGCTGAGGCCGTATTGTTCTCCGATCGATCTGACGCGATCTAAGAGTGTCTGGAGATTTTGTGCGCTCTCTGCAATTAGGACCGTGTCGTCGGCGTATCGTACATTATTTAGAACTCTGCCGTTAATTTTAACACCTTCTTTTGATTGCTCTAGTGCTCGTGCAAAGATTTCTTCCGAATATATATTGAAAAGTAGTGGCGACAATACACACCCCTGTCGTACACCTCGCTTGATAATGAATATTTCTGTGTCACCGGCTTCTGTTCTAACTGCTGCAGTTTGGTTAAAATACAACGTTTGGATAATTTTAAAATCGTTCTCGTCTAGTCCCTTTTTGTGAAGGCAATCCATCAGCTTATCATGTTTTACTTTGTCGAAGGTACTGGTAACATAGCCATGAAAACATATCAAAAATAAATTGCATAGAATACATTCCTGGGTAGTCACAAAATAATAAGTAATTACACCATATATTGTTTAAAACTGGCGATCACGAAATAATGGATAAACTACTTCACAGCCTGAATGCCACTAAAAGCTAAAAGTGGATCAAAAGATTGGAGAGCCCTAAATTTAGATATCAATCAAGATATCATTTAGTAGGGACTGGGACTAGTAGGGAAGAGAGGCATGGAATGTTTTAGACAATGTTATTTCTAAGATAAATAATAAGACTCCCATAGATAGGCTTAGTAACATTGTCTACAACATTCCATGCCTCTCTTGCAGCAATTCCTACATCGGCCAAACATATAAATTATTGAAATCACTTATTACACTACACAAAAACGATTCTCGACTTCACCCTGACCGCTGTGCATTAGCCAAACATGTCCATTCCACTGGTCCTTTTATTTACTATACTAACACTACAATTCTCCACCGCGAGAACAATAAATCTAAGAGAGTTCATTGAAATATCTTATATTTTCCTTAACGATTTCTTTATCAATGTAAAGAGTGACATTAAGAATCTAAGCAATATATACCACTTCTTACTTAAATCAGACACCAAGAACAATACAACATCACAGATAACCAACCTGACTGATATATTAACAACTAACCTTCTTAACAATAATTTTCATTAACTAAAAAATATAACATTCCCTTGCTTTTCTTAGATACATCTCAATAAGATATTATAATAATAATACATTAACAATATATTATAATTAAAAAATAATTTCAATTAGGAAAATCTAAAATATTTTCCCAAACTGGGATTTAACTTCGTTCGGTTTTAACAATGCACCTTAACGACATAAAGATTCATAAGGACTACTTTAATTGTTGGGACATGCGTTCTGATTCTGAACAGAACCTTACATTTAAACTTTTTAACAATCAAAAATTTAGTTATTGTCGACATTTGAAAGGATTACTTCTTTTTAAATGTAGTTACATTGGGTTTTTCGATTAACCTTAAGTAAACCTTTGCATTTTAAGTTCAAAGCTACCATACATTTCCAACGTTGAAAAAAACTTTTTTTGCACATAGTAACAAAAAACACCACTATGTTGTTACTAGCAAAGTTTTTTTAACACTTTAACTCAATAATTCTACGTTACAGTAAGAACTAATGTTTTTTAATAGATAATATATGGTAGCTAATTATAATTTATTCTCTTTCAGCCCTGAAGAAGCCAAATTAATTCTCTTTAACGAAAACGTTCGGCGAAACAATTGATACTTATTGAGTCTTTCTTGCAGGTTTCCCCAATATTTAAGAGTTTACTATTTAACTTATCTGCAAAGATTAAATTTCTTTTCTATATATATATATATATATATATATATATATATATATATATATATATATATATATATATATATATAATTATTGTCCATATGAATAAGTCTGATAAGATTAAATTTATTAGAAAAATGTAGTAACCAAAATAAAAACTTTTTGATTTGTATTTTAGGAACGATTCCAAAGTGGAAATCGAAACGTCAAAATAAACATAGTTTAAATTAAAATTGTGGTTAATTCCTAGTAAAAGGATATATTAAAATTTTTAGTACAGTTTTAATATTTACCTTAATGGTGATCCAAGAGGGGTTGCAATACCAAAACCTTTTGCGTCTAGATTTCTTCCCACTTTCATGGTATCACATGGTTCTCTTTCGTTAGTGTAGTCATTTTTTGGAGACTCTATTAACAAGGCAAACTTTCCTTTTGAGGTTCTTACTCGTTTAATACCTTCGTCGTATGTTTTAACAAATACGTGTTTTCTGGAATTCATGAATTCCCACATTTTTGAATAAAGTGTTAATTGTGATCTCTGAAATATAAAAACAAAAATCATGGTTATAACATAATTGTATAAAATACCAAAATAAATTGTAAATAGCTGCTTATAATATTTCTGTAACTGGAAAGATTCGAACGTAGTTATGAGGTTAGAATCGTTTTTTAATGTCCCTTTGTCGGCTTCTTGTCGATCGACGATGATAAATATAATAAAAAGTTAAAGTTGTGGAGAAAAATGTTGATTTTATTGACAGCAGCTACAAATTATACTATATGATGATGTTACGGTAACTATATATAATAGGCTGCGCTCACATGAGCTCAAATCCCCAATTGATAAAACTTTGCTTCTATCATACTAACAAACTTTGAACTATGAGCTTACAATACAATTTAATCTAGGTCGTAACTTCAACACCTAGGAAGTTCAATTGGAAAATATATTATTCGACTATTTATTAACAGGTTATTTTACTTTAATTATATTACTCGATATAGTTTTACAACGTCTTAATTATACACGGTAAAACCATAAAATATTAAGAAGTTAAGAATAATGTGAGATTAAAATTTAAGGGATTAATTTGTGATTGAACAATAACAATGGTACTCTTAAAGTATTTTATTTACAACGAGATCTTTAGATTAATCCTAATATTTTCTTATAGATAACTGTTTAGAGTCCTTTAAATAAACAATAATGTCTGTTAAAAAATTAAATTTAACAAGAAACACCTACAATTGTAGTAAATAAATTAACAACTATAATGCTTAAGGTGTATATTCTTAATATACACCTTAAGCAATACACCTTGTAATTTTTTTTTGCATATGGTATTTTTTTTATTTTATAATTAATGTGTCTCGACAGCTTATGGTCATTGGCACGGGTACAGTTTACAAGATTATACATATTTTATATAAATTAATTTTTTTCTTGTTTGGAAAAATTAAAACACGAAAGCTTATAACTATGCACTGTTTATATTAGCACTAACTTGTTTCTTTTAAAAATTTAAGAACACTGTCAAAACTGTTTCGAACACCTAGAATGTCTTTTAGATTTCCTTTTAGGTTGTGCCCGTTTCTGGAAGAATCATACTGGCAGCAGTCCACTATCACGTGTTTGATGGAAAGGAGACTATTACAGTAGTGACATACTGGAGAATTTTCTGATGCCATAAGGTATCCATGCGTGAGACGTGTATGACCTATTCATAGTCGGTGAATAACTGATTTTTCTTTCCTGTTCATAAAGGAGATATTGACGCGAAATAAGGTAGGTTGAACGTCATGCAGCTCAGTTTTTCTTTTGCTCCACAGGTCTGCCCATAAGCTGAGGATTTTTTGTTTTATTAATATTTTAAGATCCGTATGGACTTGGACCTCTTTGAAGGCTAAGTTAGAAGAACATGCTACTTTAGCGGCTGGGTCGGCTTTTTCGTTTTCCAATACACCAACATGTGATGGAGTCCAGATCATTATGACTTTTATTTTAACAGAATATAGTTGGTTACAGATGGCGTGGATTTCCTAGATTAGTGGGTTTTTCGAGAAAATGCATCTTATGGATTGAATCGAGGAAAGAGAATCACTACAAATGGCGATTTTTATGCTTTCATTAAAAGTTGAATGGATTGAAGTCTTTAATGCTTGGAGTATTCCAAGCAAGCACAAGAGCAGGTAATTTACAAAGCAAATCGCACAGAGCTTATTGTCGTCGTCAGTGTGGACGCAGAGGAGCCGCAACAGTCTTCATTGTTGGACGCATCGGTATATAAAATTTTATCAAACTGTGTTAAGTTAAGGATGTTTTAGAAGGTTTTTCTAAGGATTAAGTTTGGGGTTTCTGTTTTGTCGAATTTGCATAAATTCGTATTGAAAATTGGAAGATTGTGAATCCATGGAGCCGTCTTGTGAGTATCAATAGAAGTAGTATTGGAAAGGTTGATGAAATCTAATAAAGGAGATAATATTTGTGGTAATATAAGAGACTGATTGGATGCGTTTACTTTGGGAGATTCTATGGGATTTATTAGATTTATTACCAGGTTACTTGGGTTTGCTGATATTCTTACAAAGTATGAAAGTAGAAGCTGTTGCCTTCTTAGATGGAGTGGTGGCTCTGAAGATTCAACGCAAACACTTTCAACGGAGCTTGATCTGAAAGCACCAAGGCATAGTCGTAGGGATGTATTTTGAATCGTGTTTAGAGACCTTAGTAGGGAGGTACTAGATGCCATATAAAGAATACTGTCATAATCTAACTTAGAGCAAATTAACGCTCTATATATTTTAAGGAGAGATTCTTCATCAGCTTCCCAAGAAAAGCTAGCAAGATATTTTAGTAAATTGATTCTTTGGGTACAGTTTCCTTTAAGTTTCTGAATATGCTATCTCCAGGTAAGATTTTATCAAAGGTGATACCAAGAAGTGTCAAATAATTTACTGTTTGTAAATGAAGTCCGTTTAGAGTTATAGAAGGTGGATTAGGTCTTTGCTTTTTATTAAAATGAATTACTTTGGATTTAGGAGCTGAAAACACAAATCCAGCATGTGTAGACCAGGTGTCTATTTTGTTTATTGCATTTTGTAGCAAAGTGCTGGTGGTAGCTGTGACTGCGTTGGCAGTATAATATAATATCATCAGCATATATCGAGTACCTGACTGGTGGTTCTATATATGAGAAAAAGTCATTCATATAAGTAAAAATAAGGAAGTACTTAAAACTGAGCCTTGAGGCAAACCGTTGTCCAAAGCATGTGGTTTTGATACTTTTCCATTTGTTAATACTCTAAAATATCGATTTATTAACAAAATTTTTTAAAATAAATAAATGTTACCAGTTAAATTACATTTCCTTAATTTTCTTAGAATTAAAGGTCTTTGTACAGTGTCGAACGCACTTTGGATATCTAAAGTTACTGCTATGATTTCGCTTCTATTTGAAAATGCGTTAACAATGTCAGTGTGTAGTGCGACCAGGTTATCCATTGTACTTCGATTTGATCTGAAGCCTGTTTGGAATAACCAAAAAATATTATTTCTTTCTAGATACCATAATAAGCGTTTATTGACTATCTTTTCTAATAGTTTACATAGTAAACAATTGAGAGAAATTGGTCTATATGAATGTAGAAGATTTGGAGATGAGTCATTCTTTTTGATGGGAAATGTAGATGCTTGTCGCCATAACATTGGAATCTGGTTTTGAGACCAGATCTTATTATAACTTTAGCAGTTTGAGATGTGTGTCTGGATGAAGATTTTATAAGAATATTGATGGGAAATCGTCAGGACCAGCTGCTGAGTTTTTTAGTGAAGATATCGCTTCGTTTAATTCTAGGAGATTAAAAGGAAGATTCATAGAGCTAGTATCACAAAATATTTTAGGGCTGGATATGTTGATATCTGAGTTATTGGAAAGATTCGGAATGTTTGACTTATCTGAAAACTGAGAGCAAATATATCTGCAATATGTTGATCATCGGTAATTGTTTGATCCTGCAGAGAGATGGCGGCAATTTTGCTGGATGTATTATGACCTTTCATACGTCTTATCTTTGACCACATTTGCGAGGCTGAGGTAACTTTTGTGATTGAACTAACGTATTGATTCCATGAGGCTTTCTTACTTTCTTTTAAAATACGCCTAGACTTGGCCCTAAGTTTTTTAAAATTTATTAAATCCGTAGTAGTGCGGGTTATGCGGAATTTATTTAATGCTTTTTTGCATTGTTTGACAGCTATTTTGCACGACTCATTCCACCACGGAACAGGTTTCTTGAAAAGATTAATCGCGCATTTACCAATACATTCCTCAGCAGATTCAGTTAAACAGGTATTAAATAGTTTTGCATTTGTATCTATATCATTGTTAAAAAGTAACTCATCGGTTTTTCCCTTAAGAGTGGTTCTAAACAAATCCCAGTTTGTTTAAGTGATTTTCCATTTTGTTACAATTCTTGAGGGCATTTTTGACTGGTCAGAGATTAGAATAGGAAAATGATTACTATCAGAGAGGCTGTTTATTGTGTACCATTAAAGTAAAGGAAATATTTTGGGATTACAGAAAGATAAATCTATGGAAGAAAAACTACCTGTTTGCATATGAAAATAAACTACTTACAGAATTTAGTAAGTTTATATTTACGTTATTTAGTAAATTTTCGACTGTTTTACCTCTTCCAAATGTGTTTTCGGAGCCCTACATAGTGTTATGTGCATTAAAGTCACCTACTAAGATAAAAGGTGTAAGAAGCTGAGAAGTTAAATCTTCAAGATCAGAACTAATTAAACAGTAGTTTGGAGGAATGTATATGCAACAAATTGTAATTTTGTAAGGATACCAAACTGTTACGGCTATAGCTTCAAAGTTTGTGTATAGCGGAAATTCTTAATGAAAAATATCAGTGGAAACAAAAATTGATGCTCCGCCACTGACCCGAAGTTGGGTAGTTCGAATATAGTGGTAACCAGTAAAATTTTTAAGTTGTCTAGAATACTTATTAGTGAAATTTGTTTCTTGTAGGCATAGAAAGTCAGTAGAAGACTCAGACGAGGATAAAATCCATCACAGTTCCATTGTATCAGTGTGAAGGCTGAAATTAATATGTAGAGTTTTTGGATTTTTGCGAGGTTTGTGAACTATAAGACAGGTATTCTTTATCACAAGCATAATGGGAACTATCAAGACTGTTTATACTTTCAGAATCATCTGTTGCAGAATGTATTTAAGTTTTAATTTTTTTAAATAAGCTCGTTATTCTGATTTTTGTAGATCTTTCTTTAAAATTTGGGTTTATTGATTGCAAAGTTAGAATAAGTGATTTAATCTCGGTTGTGAATTTGAATGCTTCTGAGATAGGGTCACAGCTACCGTAAGCGTTCTCGATAAAAGAAATTATATTATCAGGAGGGACTGCAAAAGATTCTGGGTTTTGTTTATAGGCTTCATTAATTACTTGCTGGTGTCAGTGGATAAACTGGGGTCGAGAGAAGAACTACGTTTTCGTTTATCTTTTGTATTGTAGGGGTTAGAGGAGCTAGGAACTGTTTATTTGGGAGAAAACATAGTTGTTATGTTGGGGGGTTTTCCCCAGATTAAAGGTTGTTGTCGCTTATAGATCATACACATGAGCGTGGCCTCTTCTGTGAAATTTGAGAAGTTAAACATAGTTTATCTGACTTTTCAAGTATTGTATCATTTTTGCAATTCTCTGGAAAGGAAGACGGAGAAGATAGATTTGTTTGGGTGAGAGACGGTTCAGAATGAGATGGAGATTGTTTATTCTGTTGCTGTGACGTTGATTCGGTGAAGGGACTAAGGTTATGAGAAAAATAGAATTTTTAGATGTTAAGTTGTCAGATAAAGTATTGGGACAATTAAAAGCAACATGTCCTGATTGTTTACAAAAGAAATATTCCATCTTGTCCGTAGACAGAAAAATTCTATTATCATTGCCTTTAAAAGGAATTAGCAAGGAGGTGTGAAGCTCAAAATTATCAGAGGGGGGAAAATATATACTTGCCGATAAAATCTATGGATGTGGGAGTACTCATCACCTGGAATGCCTGCTTTAAGGAAGGACACAAGGAAGGCTATTTGGAAACCAAGATTCTTTACTGCATTTTCAAACAGTTCATGCAGAATATAAGGAGAGATGATCGAAATTAATTTTCTTTTGGTTTTGGAGACAAGTTTACGACTACTTACAATGAGGCGTCCTATTTGAACGGTTGAGTGGGATTTCAGAAGTTGATCAACGAGATTTGAGTTCGCTAGATATATGCCGATTCTATTGTTAGATATTCTGGATACAAAGAAACTATTTTTTGGTCCAATAATATCGCCGATGGCTTTAACGTAGTAAGTTAGAGGTTTTCTTCTGCGTGTAGAACTATCGCTTGTTCTTTTTTTTGGAAAAGATGGTTTGTAGCAGTTTGAAGGGCCATGATTAAGGTAGAAACTGTAGGATTGTTGTTTATATTTGTACTGTTCATGTAAATACAGACAGTAACCTCGTTTTATTTCTCTTCTTTAACTGGTTTTGCTATCAAAATATATATATTAAAATCCACTGAATTGGATGACCATCAAGAACCAGCAGACTCGTAAAACCAGTCTCTGGTATGCACTTTGGATAAATTAAATATAATTTATATTATTTAATAATATTATAAAAGTAATATTTACAAAACTAGTCCCGAAATCACTTTTAGCAATTACACAATTGAACTTGGCACACGTCTTACTCGTTCGAGTGCTAGAACAGGAATCCGCCATATGGTATTTAGTTCCAGTAGAATGTAAGAAGGTGTCTTTTTACTGAACTTAAAAATTTAAGTACGCTCCTATTTTTAGACATCGCGAAAACTTTTAATAATTTATATTACATATTATGATTAGTCAGAGTCCATGGTCCAATGTTATCCAAATAATATCAGATAAGAGGCAAATCGTAAAATTTTAATATAAGGTCTTGTGATCCTTTTTTATGTGTTAAAAAAGTGAACAAATCTTTATTGGTTCTTTAAAATACATATTTTTTAAAATATTTCCGTTTATTCGAGCAAAATAAATTTCTTACCAATACAAAAACGTAGTTATTTGAGAAATTGTTACTAAGTTAAACATTACATACTGAAAAAAGTCTCATGTGTAAAAAAACTTATGAACTTAAAGCATGTTAAAATTCGTGACAACATACAAATAATAATTGTTTAAAATAAAATCCATACTTACCCTGAAGAAATCCCATGTTGCACCTTGATATAACGTTCCGTATTCCACCTCAGTTTGCGAAGCTAAATCTTCAGGTGAGTTTATAGGAGCTACCATTCGTTCGACAGTCAAAAATGCAGCTAAGTTAGCAGTGTAACTGGAAATTAATATTAAAGTAAAGAACCACCAGCAGGCACCAACTATTCGGCCCGATAACGATCTAGGGGATAGCTCCCCTCCTTGCTGCATAAAAGCTGCCAAAGAAAACCATAATGAATTTAACATTGTAAAGTCGTTTGCCATCGTTCCACCGTGGTTGGTGTGTGGGTTACCCGGATCTCTGCAAGTAATAATACCAAATATAAAAAAACTGTTTTACTTCTTTAAATATCAATAGCTTATTATTTCTTGTTTTGATATTAGTGTTGGTAAACCTTAATCTTTGAATAAATCTACTACCTAATATTTTCAAGTTTTATTGCCTTTAAAAGGTTTTAATATTTAAATTAAAAGAAATGCAACGACGATATTATCATCAGTACATTCGTAAAAATGTAAAAAAAAATATTTACCGATGTTCACCAGTCATATGAAGTAACCGCCATTCGTATGGAGAAAACCTTGACACCACAAATAAAACAATGCTCACTCCAACATAAGCAAAAAGAACGCTAACCCATATTTCTTTTGAAAGTGGGTTGAGAAAACTCCAAACTCCCGGTTTTTGTTTCATAGGTTTTTTGATCATTATCGATATACCCAATGACATGAACGGTTTGCTAAAATCTATTACTCGTTCCCTCTCGGATGTTATGGTCATTGGAGCGATAGCCATGTCTGCCTCCTGCAACAAAAATGTATTTATTATTATATTATAAAATAAATATAATGCAATATATTATAAATATGATTGACTATTTCACTAATCTTAAAATTTTCACATAATCTGACCAATCACAAACCTAAGACAGCTTGTGTTATCGCGAAAACACCAACTGTCTTTCAATTCTGATTGCTCTATCAGCTTCGTGATTTCAACGACGTAACCATGGATACCGATCGCAAAGCAAAGTTTGACGTTTGCCAAAAAAAATATTGTAGCTGTATACGTCAAAATGAGTCGTTTCGGTGGTACTTCAAACGAAGTTATAAACCAAAACATTGAAGAAAATATACCGAGTAACACAAGAAAATCTAAATCTTATATACAAAGACAATTTATAATGTTCTGAGTGGATCGCAACTACAAATTAGATGCAGAAAATAATAACGAAAGACTAGCATTCATTCTAAAAGACTGACCCTTCAACGAGCGAAAAATTGATGGTAGTGATTACAAGGAGAGTGTTATTAAAACCATATGGAACACTACTGCAAAATTGGTACAAGAAAAATATTTCTGTGAGGTTCAGAGACATATTGATCCCTTCAAAGATATAACTTTCAAGGAAGCGAAACCGGCCTGTGATAGTAAGAGAAAATTGTTGCAAACTGTACCCGATAAAAGGAAAATAAGTTCTGTCGCTATGACTTCGAATAAATATAAAAATATGTGCTTACAATGGGACGAAGACACGCCAGAGGGACTCCAAAACAAGTTTTTTCATATAGCTGCCGTAGAATTAGCTTGGAGAGGTAACGAAGCAAGTTTTTCCATGTTACATTTTTTCAAGGAAGAGACTAACAACAAAGGCTGTTTAACAAACAGAATTGCATATAACCCGATATTCTCCAAAACCTGCCAAGGTGGTGATAAAAACTGTGCAGATAATAAATAACTTACTCAAAATTTGAAGAATCCTGAAATGTGTCCTGTGAGATTATACTGGAAACTTATAGCGAAAAGGGAAACTATTACCAATGATAGACTTTTTCTGACTGTGGATGGCAAGTGGAATAAATAAAATAATAGTAATTGGTACAAGAATTGTCCTATTGGTATTAATACAATATCCAAATGGACAAAAATGTCTGCAGAAAAGATAGGATTAGACACTAAAAAAGTAAAAATAACGAATCACTCTAATCGTGCCACTGCAGTTAGTCAGTTACTACAATCTGGCGTTAGTGAACAACAATCTATGAAAATTACTGGACATGGAAGTTTAAACTTGATGAAACCATATTTACATCTTAGTGCCGAACATCATCAGAACATAGTGAATACTTTTAGGAATACTCCAAGTACATCAAGTAATAATAGCAACAATACATTGTATCCACCTAATAACGGTCATACTATTCAAAATTTTTACAATTGCACCGTTTATAATAATTATAGTCGAGAATAATGTATTTTTCCGCAAATCGCCAGGAAATTTTGACATTCCTGTCAAAATTTCTTGAAGAAAAAGTCAGGACTTCCTTACTGTAAGGAAATGTCATTTCCTTCCTGTAAGGAAATGATATTTCCGTACAGTTGTTAGTGTTCTACATAAATGATAGAAAACACATTGCTTATAAGGAATTAATTTATATTTTGAAAACATCAAGTCATTGCTGAATATATTTTTGAGATCAATTTGTTATATTTACAGTAATTTGACTTCTTCTTCTTTAAGTTCCATCTTCTATCGAAGGTTGGAAATCATCATGGCTATGTGGACTCTGTTGACTGCCGCTCTAAAAAGTTTTGCACTACTGCATTCAAACCATTCCCTTAAGTTCTTAAGCCAGGATATTCTTCGTCTTCCCACATTTCGCTTTCCTCGGATTTTGCCCTGCATAATAAGTTGTAATAATGCATATTTTTGCCCTCTCATCACATGTCCCAAGTACTCAAGTTTTCGTCTTAGTAATTTGACAGTTAGTACAATTATTGAACATTGGAGGAACACTCTTAGAACTATGAAAAACATTTTGGACCACATGCAGGGTGGAAGTGTCATTTTGTTGAATATTTTGTACTGTGAAAATTTTATTTGCCACCTCAATTTTATTGTTAAGCGATTCTTCGATATATCCTTCAGCAACGTTTGATGACTTCCATCCGCCATGCCTCTTTTAACTAGTTATGTCGGCACCAGAGTCAACCAATATTGTTGCAGAAGACCGACGAAAGCAGTGACCAGTATATTCTGTCGGATTTACCAAGTTCAAATAAGTAGCAATTATTTTGGGCATTTTTCTAAATTGATGAATTCCTACCACTTGTCTACAACCCTTTCCGCTTTGATATTTAAAGAAAAATCGGTCACTGTTCATATTTTCTGGTCTTAACGAAACATACTTTCGATAAACATTCAAGTAGATTTGATTAATTACAAATGATCTTGGTTTGTTGGTTTTCGAATCAGGTATGCTGATTAAAAGCTTAGATTCTAAGTCTTCTATATCGTGTACAGTCATTCGGACTAACTCATCCATTCTACAGGACCCAGAAATACTAAATATTACAGCCACCTAAAAAATAAATAAAGCTATAATCTAAATAGAAATTAAAACCTTGTAAATTACCTTAATCATTAAATTTTCTTTATCTGGAGCTTCCTGGATAAATTTTTCAATTTCTTCCTTCGCTAAAATCTTAGATTTCTTTGCCCTATAACCTTGAGCTTGCCGTTTCAATAAAGAACGAAGTTTTGAGTATGTAGATATATCTACATTGTGTTTAAGTGCAAGGGTTGACTTCAGCATTGAATAATTGGCCCATAATGTTGAAGATTTCATCTTTAAACAAAGGTCTAGGAAGTATGCTATTACAACATTTTCTGAGAAAGAACTCGTATTTTTACTCATGCGATAATCCATAAAACGTCTGTATGCATTTTCGTACTTTTCTCTTGATTTCTTTGGCAATAATTCTAATGAAGCAGTATTCACTGCCTCAACCAGCTCTGGAGGAGTCCCAGGAATGGAAATTTCATCATCACTTATCATTTTACTTTCGAGAACACCAGCAATTAAAAGTATAAGCGTCAAGTTTGACAATTCAACCTCAACACGTTTCCATAATAACCCAAGTAATTTTATTAGGAATTTCAAAGCAAAATTTATTTGGGAATATAATTATCGCGTTTTTTTTTAAATCAATCCATATCTGTCGAATTTTAAACGATTTGCGGAAAAATAGTATGTTTACCTCGTAGGAAAAGCCACATTCCTGGACTCTGTGTTGCTAAGTCTCGGCTTGCGCCTCGACTTAGCAATCTTCACAGTCGTCCAGGAATGTTAAGCTTTTCCTACCCGGTAAACAATGTACTATTTTTCGTGTACAAATATTTTATTGTTGTAGGTAAAATAATTATAACAAATTATTTGTAGTTATAATAAATATTTCATGATTATGACTAATTGTGAATTATTCAAAAAATGGGTAGATATGGGTTACCTAGATCAAATGTATTATTATTAAATTCCTTCCTCTCATTCTACTGAATTTTTGACATATGACTTTGTTCATGAAATGGTCTAATAAAATACCACTCGTGATTAAATTTAGCTTATAAGTAAGTAAGTAATAAGTATGTCTTTTATTTCTAAACTCAACTGAGTTTCTTAAAGAAAACACCACTCGTCCTACGGACTCGTGGTGTTTTCAAGCAACTCAGTTTCGTTTAGAAGTAAATTGACAGACTTATCGCGAAAATTGAATCACTAGTGGTATTACTATTGAATATTATATATTATAAAGATTGATAAAAATTATTGATAAAAATACTAAAATATGAGAACGGTTAGTTGATAATTTGAACGGAAATTCATGTTTAATAATAAATACTAAACTCACAGTTATTTAATCTAAATTATGTAGTTGTAGTTGTGTGCCTAAACAACGATTCTATTGCTCTTTTACCTAACTAAATTCCTGTAAGATCCATCGCTACGGCGATGTCTTCATATCTGTTTATTCACTAGTGAGTGTTTTTGACGAAGAAAGAAGACGATTAATTTGAAATATTTGAAAAAAATCTATTTTTTTTTATTTTCTTTAAAAATTTTTAAAGTTAAGTAAGTTTTACCGTTGACTAAACCGTTTTCTCGAACTGTTTTTTATGCTTGTTTGTATATCACCTATGTATACTTTTGGGTAAACACCTACAATAATTGATCTTATATACCCAGCTGAACTGAACTTTGACCTCTACTATTTCTGTCTTTATTATTTTTTAAATACTAACACGAAACTTAAGGACCAAGAATGCTAATAATTACATTATTTTAATAACCAGTTCGTTGTTTGCAACTACTGCTAATGTAATCCAAGTAATGGTCATGCACTTACATCTTCTTAATTGATCTACGTTCTTGACAGGAAACATTGACGCGTTGAGTAAAATAATTTATCATTCTTATTCTTCTTTTTATACAATCAAAAATAATTAGAAACCTTTACTGCAATCATAACGCAAATCTTATAATTAAAGTTGAACATAACGAATATGTAAAAATCATACGTGGTGTGGAGCAAAACTTTATTTTGTCTTCTTTAATCTGCAGTCAATAATTTCAAACAATATTTAGCGAAGCTTTGCATGGACCTGACAAATGCATTCGACTAACCTGACACCAGCTAAACAACATCAGATCTGCAGATGACACTATAGTAGTTGCAGACAGCCTAGAAGACCGATAAGTTTTTATAAACAAAATCACAAATTACAAAAAATCAGTCGAATCGAGTCAACAATATGGACTCAATTAAACGCAAAGAAGACAAAGCTCATGAAAATTGACAAGAAAAAATATTATAAGATCAACTCTACATCGACCAGGCCCCAGTAAAAAAATGACGCATTGGGTCTACTTACTTACTATAGTAAATGAAGTAAATCAACCATACATTAACCAGGAGATAAAAGCGCGTATAGGAAAAGCTAGATCCACCTTCAACTGAATGGGGGC